GGCAAATCCTGACAACCACCCCGAAGGGTGTGAATGGGGGATCAAAGGTTCAAAATTTCTCCCAAAGAGTAAATTATTTTTATGTTCTCCTTAGAGGTAACTCGGTAAAGTAGAGCCCTTTGGGCGAAAATTTCGTCCGTTTTGCTCTATCTCTAACCGTTTAGGGGCTAGAGGGTCTTTTTTGACGAAAGTAAGCTAAAAATTGATAAAGTGAACAATAAGTTGTAGAGAAAGGCCTAAAAACCGCAAAATAGAAAAGAAACTCTCCCCTTACCCCCCAAAAACGTTTTCTAAGCAGAAGGGTTGGTTGTAGTCGCGGTGCTTCACCGTTACATCCCTTTCTCAAGTCTTTGGGGCAAACTCAAAGATGATGGGTTTAAGCGGGCCGAAGGCCCGCTACATCATTCGATCATGTTCTTCAGCAAATCGCGTGACAGAAATGGTCGGGCCGCAGGCCCGACCATCGCCGCCGGCAGGCCAAGCACGCCCGGCCCCTGCCGAACGGAGTTGCCGGCGGAGCGAAGCGGAGCTGGCAACTTTGTTTGGCGGAAGGGCGGGCCTGCTTGTTTTCAGCAAGCAGGGACAATTTTACACTGGACCCATCAATCCATAACCCCGTAAAACTCTGGGTAAGGCAAGCAAACCCATGTTACAATCAGCTCAAGAAATTTTATTCAATACCCTCACTTGCCTCTGGTTGAAGTGAAATTATATCAAATAATATTCATTTTAATGTGTTGAAACTCCTCCCATATTGAAACCTTTAATTTGTCATTCTTTGATTCATTTTCATCTGATCTCTCCGAGATGTTTTAATGATCACGACTGATTTTGAATGGCTTATCCTACAATAAGTTGCGACTATGGCTCTAATATTGTTCGGTCCCTTGCAAGTATATTGCTATTGAAAAAATTAGTTGTGAGTGTAGTAAGCCTTTCAAGATGCTTTTTTATAAGATAAAATGACTTCTAGTCGTTTTAAGACTGAACACCAATATTTTGTGTTCCAATGAAAAATTTGTAAAATTGCAATTTGCTTAAAGTTTTCAAATTTTTGGTAGAATCCCAAATTTGGATTCCTCTTGCAAAATTAAAAAGGAAATGTCTTATGTTCAGAGCTGATCAGAGTCGAAATGGCAAAGTTAATAGAACCCAAAGGGGTAAAAGTGTGCCAAAACGACCAAATTGTCAATTTCGAGGGGAATAACTCCAAATTGAACGTTCGAAGGGTGCGTTTTGACCGTCTCGACGAGGTACGATCCTGTAACGAGCGAAAACTGCCGTCAAAATTGACCTCCGACGCACCGTTTGGCCGCCAGAGGCGATTTAACACTTTATTGAACATTTGAACATAACTCTGCCATTACGATTCCGATCATCTTTGGGCATAAAACATTTTCGTTTTCTTTTGTCGAGATGAACCGAGAACAATAGTAACCTTTGCACATTTCTCCCAAACCACACCCCCCGCCCCCTCCAGCTTACGAAAGTAAACACGTAAACCAGTCCAAAGATCACTTTCGTTCCTTCTCATCGGACACTCGCGAAACTTCGCAGGCTAAGTTCCGCAACTCTAAAACTTAAACTAAAACACTCGGTTTGACTATCTGACATTTAAATCACTGCTGAGAAGGTATTAAAGTCTTCAGGTGAGCGCAGAAGCCACTTGCGCTCCCCCTACCCTTGATTGCCGTGCTACCAACCTACTACCACCAAACTACGAATTCAAATTAAACGATCGCTTATTTCAAACATCTTCTATCAAACCTCTAAACTAAACTCGATACGACCGGATTTATACTGATGCTTCGTGCGCAGTTTGAATTCAATTGAAGTTGCCGTCTTTGAGAAACGTGTGTGATTACAAATAGACAGACAGACAGACACACAACCAAAGAGTTCCCTGCACCTCATGACAGCAAAGGCTTCGCTAACGCTCAGCCAATCACTTTGCATATTTAAATAAACTAAAGGGTCCGGCGGGGGGCCTGCGGCCCTAGAAATTTTCCCCCTGGACATGACAAGAGACTGTAACGGGGCAACACCGTGACTACACCCCACCCTTCTGCTTTGCTCAAGAATGAAAAAAGGTGAACCAGCGCAGTTTTTAGATTGTGTATTGTTTCACTGATATGTAAAGTGTGCCACTGACACACACTTTAAAGTGTTTAACACCGTGTGGCATACTTCTAAGTGTGCAACACGAGTTTTGAATAGTTGGAAGTGTGCAGCAGGTGTGTTGCACACTTTTTAGTGTTCAACCTGAGCGTTGAGCTATAGGCTCGACCGAGGGCTCGACGGTCAGGTTGAACATTTAAAAGTGTGCAACACACCTGTTGAACACTTCCAACTATTCAAAACTCGTGTTGCACACATAGAAGTATGCCACACGGTGTTAAACACTTTAAAGTGTGTGTCAGTTGCACACTTTATATATCAGTGAATTGTCAAACAGTCCTAAAACTTGACTTTCTGCTATTGTTTTCAATATATCCACCTCTAGGGCCGAAACAGTAAAAGATACGGCAAATCCGAGGGTAGTTTCTGATTCAGAATGTGTTGTTTTGGGGGGTTACTTCCTCTGACATTTTACGATTGGACGCCTCCTTGTACGACTTTAGGAGCAACGCGGTCATTTTCGCCGTATTTCGTCGAAAAAAGCACTCTAGCGCCCAAACGGTGCAAGATAGGGTCAAACGGACGAAATTTTCAGCCAAGGGCTCTACTCTCACGAGTTACCCTTTAGGAGACCTTAAAAAAAATATTATTTTCTACTTTTTGGACCAACCCCCATTCCTTTTATACCCCCTTTCACCCCCTTGGGGGTGGTTGCCAGGATTTGCACCAGGCATTTCGTTGTCCAGGAGTGACTCCTAAGATACCCTGAAATTTGCAGACCTCTAGCTCATCTCCTTCCTCTTGCACGGACGACGGACGGACAGACAGACGGACACGCGAGCGGTTGCATAAGCCCGCTTTAATGCTTTTTTAAAAGCAGAAGGGCGGGCTAAAAGGAACCACCACTTGCTGAAAGATTCGCGCCTGGTCAAGCAATTCCGTTCATACACCGACATGCTGGAGCCGCTGCAGACTCACCTTTAAGAGGTAAGCCTACTATATAGTATATTGAGACGAATATTCGTCTCAATTTAAACCTGTCATTTACAGTTGCCTGGGCGGGCGCGGCCGCGACCCGGGTCAGGTTGGTAGGGGTAGACGCCCCCGGGGGAGGGTAAGGTGTGATGTAGATATGTGGTCGCAAGCGGGCGAGAGTGGGGGAAGGTAGATCCTTCGCGCCACTCCGCCGATCGGTTTGAAACGTGCTGGGTTCACGCTGGACCAGCAAGGGTCGGCTTTAGGCCGGGCGGCCGTGCTAGGGTCGAGCCTCGAGCCTCACGGGGGGCGCACAGTGCGGCAGACCTCGAAAAAGGTGGACATAATTCTAATAACGACCCCTTCGACTTTAATTTGACTTTCCTTGTTTCTGGAAGTTACAGCATAGTTTTATGCCCTTTGCCATTAATATTTTGATTTTAAAGTACGATTTATAAAATTTTTTTAGTATAAAAATTGTAATTTTTAATTTTTTTCAAAGGAAACACTTTTACAAACGTGTTGAAATATTCTTTAATTAAATGGGAATCACGAATGACCTGGAATTCCCTCCCATTTTGTGTAAAATTACCAGAAAAGTCCACCCACCGTTGTTAGAGCGAGTGAGTGCACAGAGTCAGTTTTAGATTGAAATATTGGCTATATTAGGATTGAATCAAAGGGAAACAGCTCGGAAACCGATTGGTAGTATTTTTATCTGTTACTGACCGAGTTTTAGACTCGTGCGATGGCCACAAGTCTATTAAACTGTATAAATCGGCATGTATAGAGTGATGTTCCTAACCTCAAAGCACCTCTACAGTTTTACCCCGCAAAACTAAAGCGGCGGATTGCGGCAGCCGTTCTCAGTCAGAATCATCAGTTCACTAATGTTTGAACTTTATTCCAATGTGCACGAAATCGCGGCAATCGGCGGCAATCGTTTTATAACTCAATTCAAAGATATCGGGTCAAGAGATGAAGTCTCGATGCAGGTGTCCAAAAAACACTATTTTTATCGTTAAAAAATGCAAGATTGATTTTAATTGTCCTGCATATTTTGAAAGATGAAGTGTCGAACTACAACTCTAATAACTTTGATTTTACATTTAGGCTCCTGTTTAATGGAAATTAGGAAGTACAATACGTGTAATTTGCGCGGGAAGGAGCGCGCTGATTGCGCTTCTGATGACTCACTTTTGAGGGTTTCTAGAAAATAAATGTGATGGCTTAAAAATATGAGAGTAACTGTTTTAGATGCTTCGAACATTGTAGATTCGCCCTGGACAAACAAAATAGTTAGTATGACAAAGTGAAAATTTGGAATATGTCCACCTTTTTCGAGATCTGCCGCACTGTGGGGCGGTGCCGGGTCTTTCCTGGCTCGTTAATCCCTTTTGAGTACTCGGCGGCGCGCGCGCTGCTCTGACAGTGGTTGACACGGAGATGCGCAGTCGGTTCTGCGCATGTCAGATCCACCAATGAGAGCGCTTGCGACCACCTATCTACATTACACCTTAAGTGGAGGGGGAGGGGCGAGTAACCGGCAGCGCCATGCGCGGGTGCTACTAGCACTACGCGTCGTGGCGCAGACAGATCCATCGCGCAGGGGCACATAAGGGAAGCGGACATGTGTGCAGTTATTTCCCGGACGGACAAAGAGTAATTTTGTTAAGTTTTGTTTAAGGTCCGTGCGTGCTTGTCAAGCATTTGCGCAGAGCCCTCTCCGGATGACATCACAGATGACTGGCTGGAGACTCTTAACAAGTTCCTCGAACCATTTGACTATGATGGCAAAAGGGAGGCAAGTAGTTCCGTCACTGTGAAGAAATGGCCTGAGCTCCTCCAGTACTCAGAAATCTGCACTTGACATTGACAGACCCTGTATCGCACAGCTGAAGGAGACAATGGTGGAGGAGCTTGGTATGCTCAACATTGTTCTCCCTCTGCGCAAGTGCAAGAAGCTGAATAACCAACTGCGGAATACCGGTCTTGACAAGAGGATCCTAGGCCTCATCCAGGAGTTTGAGGTTCGCTGGAACACGGACCTGGATTTGTTGAAATCGATTGACAACAACTGGATACAGGTAAGCACCCTGTGGAAGTTTAAACGTTTCTGTTTCACGTGTCTCCTGTTGTAAGAGGCTCCAGTGTTACGGGTTCAAAAAACCCCTACCCCTATGTCAAACGCTCGTGGGCGTAGGGGTAGGCAAACCCGGAACACTGGAGCGTAATACAAGAAACAGTCTGTGCACTGTGCCTACAACTGTGTCTTCTCATTCTTTGCAGATCAATGAAGCCCTTCCCGACGGTGATCCAAACAAGCTAACCGCCTCGCTAACCGCCGAGGAACGTGACCGCATCCAACTGCTAATTAAATTCTGGACCCCATTTAAAGGAAAGACTTTAAAGTTAGAGGGTGAGGATTACCCTACTCTTCCTCTTGCGTGCCTCAACATAACGCGACTGAAGGAAGAAGCATATCGATAAACCTCTGCAACTTCCAGACTTCAGGTAGTGTCGTGGAATTCACCAAGCATTTAGCGCAACAATATTTGAAACGTAACACATGTGCCGTTTTTAGCCCGCCCTTCTGCTTTTAAAATAGGTAGATGTACGCCAGACCACGTCTCGCGTAAACAGGCTACGCGATATCTCACGAAACACTGATACGCTGCGACGCGCCTGGCAAACATCTACCTAGGCCTGCGGCGCTGGCACCCGAGTCGGGCAAAAGCAGGGCAAAAGGCAGAGTCGTAGATAGGCCTTTGGCTCCAAAGGATGCAAATTTGACCCCCGGGATTTTATGTTCATGAGTTGCCCCATCAGAGGCCTTCAAATATCTGAGAAACAACATTAAAATGGTTTGGGGTCATTTTCGTGTTGAAAACGCTCTCTTGCGACTAAACGGTTAGAGATAGAGCCAAACGGACAAACTTTTGGCCGTAAGGATTCTACTTTGGCGAGTTATTGGCGAGAAAGATGTTGAAAAAAAAAGAAGTAATATTTCGGGTTTTTTGTTTTTGATTTTTTTGACAGGTCAACTTTTAAACTAGAAGGCTCAAAATCAATACAGTTCTTGCTTTTTATGCTACAAAGCTACACTAAAAATTTCAGGTACCTAGCTCAAACCGTTCTCGAGTTATCGTGTTTCCAGACAGACACACAGACAGACACGAAACTTTTTGATCATCACTGGAGTAATAGGCTTCGCTATCGCTCAGCCAAAAAGCATTAAAGCGGGCTTATGCAACCGCTCTCGTGTCCGTCCGTCCGTCGTCCGTGTAAGAGGAAGGAGATGAGCTAGAGGTCTGCAAATTTCAGGGTATCTTAGGGGTCACTCCTGGACAAGGAAACGCCTGGTGCAAATCCTGGCAACCACCCCTAAGGGGGTGAAAGGGGATAACAAAGAAATAGGGGTTGGTCCAAAAAGTAGAAAATCAATTTTTATGGTCTAAGAGGTAACTCCTGAAAGTAGAACCCTTTGGGCTAAAATTTCGTCCGTTTGCCTCTATCTTGCACCGTTTGGGCGTTAGAGTGTTTTTTTAGACGAAAATACGGTGAAAATGACTACGTTGCACATTAAGGCCTTACATCACAGTTAAGCCCCTAGCTTTAAACTAGTTGTTTCTGGTTATTTTTATGAGTTAAAACGAGTCAGGTGATCAAAAGTAGGTAATAATTGTGTAGGTTGGTTCCTTTTTAAACAAATCATACAAAAAATAAGTTCCGGAAACTTTCGGTTTGTAAAGGAACGACAGTTTTCATACTTGAGTCATTTTTCCCAATTATCACTTAACGCGCAAGATTTCAGAAGCTAGGATAATGATAAAACATTTCCGTAACTTCTCAAATATTAGGAAGACATGTCATTTAGGGCTGAACCAATGAAAACAGTAGTAAATTTAAAACAAGAAAATAATTTTGGAACATTTGTAGACATTAATAACATTTTTGAAAATATACTCCAAAATTATTTTCTTGTTTTAAATAATAATTTTCTGCTGTTTTCATTGGTTCAGCCCTAAATGACATGTCTTCCAAATATTTGAGAAGTTACGGAAAGGTTTTATCATTATCCTAGCTTCTGAAATCTTGCGCGTTAAGTGATAATTAGGAAAAATGACTCAAGTATGAAAACTGTCGTTCCTTTACAAACCCGAAGTTTCCAGAACTTATTTTATGTATGATTTGTTTAAAAAGGAACCTACCTACAGAATTATTACCTAGTTTTGATCACCTGACTCATTTTAACTCTAAAAAATAACCAGAAACAACAAGTTTAAAGCTAGGTGCTTGACTGTGATGTAAGGCCTTAAGACGTACAAGGAGGCGTCAAATCGTGAAATGTCAGAGGAAGTACCCGCCCAAAACAGCACATTCTAAGTGAGGTACCACCCTCCGATCTACCGTATCTTTAACCGTTTAGGAGCTAGAGGTGGATATATTGAAAACAATTGCAAAAAGTCAAGTTTAAAGTGTGTTTGACAAACAATATGCAAACTACAATATACAATCTGCGTGGGTTCCTTTATTTTTTTGAATTCTTAAGCAAAGCAGAAGGGTGGGGTGTAGTCACAGTGTTGCCCCGTTACAGTCTTTCGTCATGTCCAAGGAGCAAATTTCTAGGGCCGCAGGCCCCCCGCTGGACGCTTTAGTTTATTTAAATATGCAAAGTGATTTACCGGTCACATTATTTATTTGGCGAGACAGAAATGGTCGGGCCAAAGGCCCGACCATCGCCAAAGCCCGACCATCGCCACCGGTACGCCAAGCAGGTCCGGCCCCTTGCCGAACGGAGTTGCCGGCGCAGCGAAGTGGTGCTGGCAACTCCTTTCGGCGGAGGGGCGGTCCTGCTTGTTTTTTGTAGTGAGGATTTTATGGAGGAGTTACTGCTTGAGGAGGAGGCAGATTACCAGCGTCTCCGTTGTAAAACGAAGAAGATGCTGAATAGCACTCCTCAGAAGTGACCAACAAGATAGCCCACTTCCTTCACCTGAAGTACCGGGAGCTCCTCGTCCTCAGCCCAGATGAACGCGAAGAGTTAAGAATCGAACGGAAGTGGAATGGTTTGGGAGCGGGGGGGCAATGAAATTCTCAAGAAAGCAATGTTCTGCAAGAGAATCAATGGTCGTTTGATTCTCTGAATGGTACTGAAGTGACTCTTGCAGACCCACTGCTGGACAGCTACAAGTTTGCGCTGACACCCTCTTCCCGACACCTGGATCAGTGGACAGAAATGTACAATGAAATGTATAACTATGAGTACATTGGATCACAAATCTGACGTTTATCACAAATTGGCGACTCACCCTGCGGGCCCTGGCAACTCTCTGGACAGACCTTCAGGCTGAGGGTCGCGACCACTTTCTAGTTGGCGAAATTATCGGCGATTGTATTGAAAATTATTACTGCAGGAGAAGGTGTGCAGGTGGCTGCAAAAAAAATCTAATCCATGACTTCCCCGCTGCCTTTGCAACTTGTCAGAGACCTCTCTTCTGCCTTCAAAGTGAAAGGGAAGAACTGCCAGGATGACCAGTCTCTCACTTTCATAAATCTGAATGTATTACTTGAACTAGCCGAACAACAACCTGCAACAAGAAGAGAGACTGGTATCCTGGGCAGCCAGCACAGCCAGGAGCAAGAGGTAGAAGAGGAAGTGGAAGAGGAAGGGATGGAGGAGGAAGAGGAGGAAGGACATGGAGAGGAAGAAAAGTGGGAGGCAGATTCCACGCCACTCCCACTTTTTACCTGTGATGTGAGCTTCGCACAGCGTATGAAGGATAAGTTGGAAGTGTTGGTGCCCACGTTGCAGCTCCAATCGTGGCGGCATACATGGAGAAGTGGAAGTGCGAAGACCGCAGCAAAATCCTCCAAAGTGAAGCTCAGTTTCCTCTCCATGTACTGTCAACAATAATAGCATCAAGTGTAGCATTAAATCAAAAAGTTCCATCTCAAGTCATCAATAAAATCACCACAACCACCAAGCAAAATAGTAATACAAGGCATGATAGTAGAACCAGAAATCATTTCCAAATTCATTACTCATCTCTAAAACTTCCCTAAAATGGTCACTTTTGAGCTGTGCCAGAACCACCACGAAAACAAACACAAATTATTGGCTGAGCGATTAGCGAAGCCCATTACTCCACTGACCGAAAAAGTTTCATTCTGTTTGTGGGTTTGTTTGTTTGTCTGTCCGCACGATAACTCGAGAATGGATTGAGATAGCGATCTGGGAATTTCAGGGTCATTTTGTATCATAAAAAGACAGACCGAGTTCGAAGATGAGCATTCTAGCTCAAAAATTGGCTTTATAAAAAAAAGAAAAACTACAGGTCGCAAAATGAATTTTTATCAAATATTTTTTTACGGGTTCCTAAGGGGTAACTCGTCAAAAAAGAGCCCTACGAACGTAAATTTCGTCCGTTTGGCTCTATCTCGTGCCGTTTAGGTGCTAGGGGGCATTTCTTGACAGAACTGAACGAAATGGTCAATTAAATCGTTGAAAAGACTTCATTTCGAAAAATTGTATATGCACTCCTATTACCCCGTCTCGGGTGTCAGCGCCGCAGGCCTAGCTAAATGTGCGCCAGGCGCGTCGCAGCGTAACAGTGTTTCGTGAGATATCGCGAAGCCTGTTACGCAAGACGTGGTCTGGCGTACGTATAGCTAGTTAAAATCAATCTCAATCAAAGCTTTAAATGTGTTGCTGGCTTTAAATCAAGAGTACCGGGAGAGAGGAAAAAAATAGGTAAGAAAAATGTGAGAAGCTACAAATGGACAGCAACCTGTGATGTTTGTTGTGTTTCTGCACCTCTGTGTATGTGAGTGCTTTTGAAGAATATTGTTGGCTGAGCGATTAGCGAAGCCCATTACTCCACTGACCGGAAAAGTTTCATTCTGCTTGTCTGTTTGTTTGTTTATCTGTCTGTCTGTCCGCACGATAACTCGAGAAAGAATTGAGAGAGCGATCTGGGAATTTTACGGTCGTTTTGTATCATAAAAAGATAGATCGAGTTCAAAGATGAGCATTCTAGCTCGAAAATTGGATTTTTTAAAAATCGAAAACCACAGGTCCCTAAAATGACATTTTTAAAAAATATTCTTTACAGTTTCCTAAGGGGTAACTTATCATAGTAGAGACCTTTGAGCGAAAATTTCGTCCATTTGGGTCTATCTTTAACCGTTTAGGCACCAGAGGGAGTTGTCTACACAAAAATGACCGCAAAACATTTTTAGGTTTTTTCTCAGATGTTTGTTGGTCTGTGGTAGGGTAACTCTTAAAAATAAAACCCCGGAGAACAAAATTTGTGACTTTTGGGGCCGAGTGCCTAGCCTACTCACGACTTTGGCCCGACTCGGGTATCAGCGCCGCAGGCCTAGCTATATGTGTGCCAGGCGCGTCGCAGCGTAACAGTGTTTCGTGAGATATCGCGAAGCCTGTTACGCGAGCCGTGATCTGGCGTACGTATAGCTAGTTACGCTCGCGCGGAGACCAGGGATTTGTCATT